CTCTCTCGTTTGTGCAAATCAATCCAAAACATTGGTATTAATAAGAAAATGAGCGAATCTGAATTTGATGCCATATGAGAGTAATTAAATGAGCGAATCACTTGTTGCATTGTAATGTGACTTCGAATTTGCTGCCATATGAGAATAATAAAAAGAGCGACTTCGCATTTGCCGCCATATGAGAGTAAATTAAATTGTATTGCATTGTATTAGCTCGGCTGGTGTGTTTGTTATTGTTGATATGAAAAAGAGCTTTGGTTGCTTGGTGAGTTAAAATCAAACAGTTTATTCGTTTATTCAGTTTATGTTTTGAATGCGATACAGTATTTGGTGTGCTTGCTGCTAATACCATAATTAAAGACGAGCGTTTTTATTAATTATTCCAAAATGTGTGCATAGTTAAAAATATTTAATTTAAATTTGAAATATTTAAAAATCAGTGAAAAAGTAAATGCAACAAATGGGAAAACCATATCCATTTAAACTTATAATCCGGAATAATCAAACTGTCGAAAATTGATTTATATACGTATACATATATATATATATATATATATTTTTGTTTTTTTTTTTGACTGAAGAAATGCCTAATCAAGCATTAGGATTTCCGAAAATGTTAAGCTAGTGGCAAAACTTAGACCGATGTGCGGTAAGATGATGATTAGTGCGCCTCCCTCTCAGTTGGCATACGTGTATAGGGGGCATTTCCGGCTTGATTGATCATACAAAAAGATATATATACAATAAATCAAAGTAACAAAACTAGCAAAAAATGAATCCATTACAATAAAGCAAACACCTTAACTGAGCATTATCAATCAGATCGATATCAAGTGAATAAAGTTCTGAACTTCAAAGATTGTTCTCATCAATTATCCCACACAGTGTCAAGACGAACTGTAGACACAACAAGGGAAACAAAACAAGTAAAAAAAATCTTTGTATAGTCGAAGGCATGTGATGTTGGTCAAATGCTGAATTAAGTGATTTTCAAAGGGGAAGCCAGTGACGATCGATAAGGATAAGGTTATGCCTTGTGCTATGGATACATCAAAACCTTTTAGCCAAATTTTCTAAATCCGTGACAAAGTTATGAAAAATGTGACATTGACCGGAACTTCTTCGAACGTTGTTCTCTTGTGCTAATCGCATTTCATTCCCCTTATTAATCTTCTCAAAAATGGCTCGTCACAGTAGAGAGTCGCAATGTAAATAGAAATAGAGTAAATACCGAACCGAACCTCTTTATAACCTACACTAGTTGTGAAAAAGCTAGATGGCGGACGTTTTCAGAATTCGCCTAATTATCAAAGTACAGTTACAGTTACTTGATAGATTTAGAAGTTTCAAAGCCATTTCTTAAGAAAACTGTCACAAACACTTTTCGAGATCCAACACAACAGTACAGTTTAAGTCGTTTTCCCAAATAACTTATAGTTGATCCGTATTTCCGCAGGCTTCCTTAAGCACCTTAAGTCACCTCATTTCATATATTAATGCAAAGAATGAATTTTCATTCTTTTGTAATACAATGTGAAGATTGAACATAGTGCCGGGTCGTATGCGGAAAACGCTTGCAAATAGTGTACGGAAAAGAAATCAAATTTTCAAGTCCCTATTAAAAACAATCATAACAATGCAAGTGGTCATAGGCAAACAGTATAAAAGGAAAACCATATGAAAACAAGTTCAAAAAATATGCAAAAAAAATAAGACCTCAAGCTTCGGCAAATGTTGCAAGTAAACAATTAGCTAAAGCAAAAACAAAAAAAACAAAAATTAAAAAAAAAAGCAAAAACACAAAAAAATGCAAGCATTTGCAGCAGGTGAACGACTTAACATTCTCTTTCTCTTTTAACTAACATATACAGCACATGCACTGTTCCCCGACTTCCGGTCATTTTTCTAGCAGTTAGTTTTAGCTGAAGTTTAAAAAGAAATTTAATGCGTGATTTATATACAAGACAAGTATGTTCATGGAAAACTCGATACAAATATAAGTTAAAGAAATTTCTTTAAAAATAGTTGAAGATATTTTTTATAAAGTTTTTAAAAACAAACAAACGAAAAGGAATGCCTTTAAACTTTAAAATTGCACTGGAGGAATGAGAATCGAAGAACTTTTTTAATTAAAGGAAACAATTTATATTGTGGGTGAGCATGTTATGGAAATATTTGCAATAATCAGAAGGAAGCTTCAAAGCCCATAGCATAAACTTTCATCAAATTTTTATATTCTTCTGATTAGCATCAAATTTTGAATCGTATGTCCCTTCAATCTGTCAATATATCTGTATGAGAAGCCTAGTAGATAGAATCCTGATTACCAAGTTTATAATCGCGGACTCCAATTCCCATGTGGTAGATATTACTTTGATCGGCTCAGTCCCTAAAGGCACTTAAGGCGAGTAAGCACATACCCGCTAGCCTGCGACCACCGCCCCTCTATTTCCTTGTAGTCGTCACGGCCTTACGCGAAGAGGCGCCATCCCCTATATGCTTGATCGTATTAAATGAAGGAATTATTTATTTTGGGAATTTGGACAAAATAGGTATTTTTTTTAAATCCCAACATATATAAGTGCTATCAGGAAAAGTACGCAGAGAAAGTCTAATTTTTATGACAGACACTGAAAAGTAATAACATTTTTAAGAATTAAATGAAGTTTGCTAGATTTGGGTTATGTGATATGACTTTTTCGGGCATCTTTCAATATGGGGCTTTCATCGAAAGTATTGGGTTTTTTATTGCCAAAACTAGTCAATAACTGCATCAGGAGTAGTGAAGTAGAAGTAGAGTATCTAATGGTCGACCTTGCCTAACTGTAATGTTTTCCCTTGTTCTAAATTTATTTTTTTATTAGATTATATTATCTAGTTTATCGCTGATTTCTCTCTCAACAGGATTTCCATTCTTATGACGATATCTATAAAATTGATCTTTTCGTGGATAGCACGAAGAGAGTAGATATCCTTCCCGCGCGTTATTTGTCAAAAAGATAGCAAAATGCGAGATGTATCGCTGAACAATACTTTACAATTTAATTGTTGAATGTGTCAGTTAGTGAATCAAAACTGACTTCTGATACTAACCTTTTTGACGATCCCAAGAAATATTTGTACAAATTTATTTTCAGTGTTTTTTTTTTGAGACATAAACAAAATTCAATGCGAACTGCGATCAGCAGGTCGGAGTAGTAAAGTCATTTTTGTGATTATGCATACATTCTTCACTTGGAGGAGGTTCAGAGTTGATCTAGTATTTTCCGTCTAACCGTCCACTCACACGAATCTTTATATATAGACACTATGATAATCGAGGAGAAAGAGGTAAGAAGAGAGCAATAGTGTGTAGCCGCAATCTGAAAATTGTATGCCCAATAGACATGTGTTATGCCTTCATCGATTGAAGATTCATGTGGCTGTGGCCACAAACAGTTACTTCTATCGCACTGGAAATTAAAACCGGTTAAATCGACTTGAGATTTTCTTGTCTACTATATTATGTAGCGTACCATACACAATTTAGCGAATTTCTCAATATTGTAAACAAAAGAAATAAATGTAGTGTCCGTCCATGCTGCGAAGATGAATGAAAAAAATATAAAATTCGTTAAGGTAAATCCTTAACAAGTGCTCCTGATATATAATAGACTTAGTTTTGTGCTTATAAATGTAGATGGCGCTACAAAATATTTATATAAAACTGTAGATTACGTTAGATTTGATTTCTATGGGCGTGGTGTAAGTAATAAATTTTAATCTACGATATGATCTTGATTAAGGGCAAATTCAAACTTAATTTATGATCATCATCCTGTTCTGAAACAATTTTTCAATTTTTATCACCTTATGGATGGATATCTACGCCTGATTATTCCATTTATCCTTTTGACGGATCCTTTCACTAAAAAGGGAAACTTTCAAAACAAAGCCGTTTAGTATAACTCCTTATGCCATTTCGCAATGATTCCTTCAAGATACGGATAGTGGTCGTAAAGATTATTCGATACAATCCGGTTTCAATAGTGTCTGTTTTCGATTCCAAATATATAGAAATTTCATTAAAATATCTCCGAAATTGTGATCTCTTTAGTTTAATGAAACAGGTGAAAACACTATGATGAAAAGCTGTCCGCCACCCCCCTCCCCCTAAATGTAATGTAATTATTCAGGTAATGACCTTTGAAAATAAGGGGATTTTTAAAAATGGTTTTCAATAGTGTTCGCCCTTGTGTACCAAATTTCGTGGAAATATTACAAAAATTTTGCGATCTGCATATTAAACATAATCACATAACAGAGACAGACAGACGAACAAATTAGGTCGATTCAGAAGTTGAAGTGGCAAGTGGGTCTATCTCAAGTCATTCTATGTGTTACACACATTCGTACAAACTCCGTATATGATGTACCATCGGCGGTGTAGGATATAAAATGTTTAAAAAACTTAGCTGACCCACATAGAAATATGTTTACCTCAATACAGAAATAAAGACAACAAAAAAAAACTTTAACAAAAGCGACAACAACTACATGTCAGCCAAAGTGAATAAAAGTGAAAAAATACCAATGCATACGATTTTGTAAACAACAACATAACCAGTTTACAAAAACAACAAAACAACAAAAAAAAAGAAAAGGAAAGAACTTTAAAATTGTATATTACGCTAAAACTGCTAATAATGGAAACCTAAAGAATAATACAAAGTAAACGTATTCTATGTAACCTAAGCCCAACCAAAAAAATAAATAAATAAATAAAGTAAAGTATGATACATAAAAACATAGTCAAGTAAAGGTAGACAACCTGACAACATAATAAAATAGACTGGTGTCATAATTTATTTAGCGTATGCATCCTAAATATATATGTGTATATTCGTGTATATGTAATTGAATGGATGGATGGTTGGATGGACGGATGATCTGTCTTTTCACATTTTCCGGCAAAGTACAAGAAGTAGTAAAAATTTGTTTTTTTTCTTTTTTTTTTTTTTCGATATCATCGTGAAGTGAGCGTTATATGCAACGTTTAGTTCAGTGTCGTTATCTGGTTTTTCTCGTTGCTCTAATCTCAAGTTAACTTTTACTGAAATTATGTTGACACTTTCAACAATTATGAAATCCATTAGCAGCAACCATTGCGTGTGTTACTGGCTTAACAACTTAATTATAATTTGATTATATTGATTGATTGTTTAAACCGCAAAACGAGAAAGTGTTGAAGAAATTTTACATGCAATTGTCATTAACTGCATTGACAGCATTTATCATTATCAGGATGTGGATTATCTATCATTGGATTATTATGGTAGGCTTAATAAGCCTAATTTTACCAATTATTGGTAAGTAATTAAGTTTCTCTGATAATAATCTCAGGCTGATTGTAAATTTATTATCATTAACGCTTATGTTATGCAAAGATCGATGAGTTCTCTTAAATGAGTTAAAAAGGAGAAATTACTCAATGTTTGAAATTTCAAAATTGAATGCGAACAGGTACATAGGATAAGCTTTAGCGGCGCCAAAACTCAAAGCTATTTCTTAACGCATAGGAAAAGTGATGGACAGCATCTCTTTCCTGCGCATAAGACTACAAAATGCTATTCATTGGATAGATTGTAATTATATTCGGAATAGACTTTCTCAGCGTTTCCCTCGCCCACTCGTCCTGGAATTGTCTATATTTCTTTAATTGCTTTGGAAAATTGGCAAATTCTTGGTATACAAAAACTAGTTGCTTCTGCACTTAGAACCCCTTCTGAACGCCTGAATGGCTGAAAAAACAAAATAGATGCTACGTATATACATCCAGTGGAAACCGCAATGAAAGCTAATATGTCCAATCGCCAGTTCGAACACAGCAGTTAACCAATGTGTGGGTCCTGACTACGGCCACGGTACAACCTTTGGGGGGGGTATCGTGGCGGTTGTGTGTTTCCATCATTCCTAAAGCGAATAATTAAAGTTGATGATAGGCCTCAACACTCCGCAGAGTGGGTTTATCGGGTCATACACAATGAATATATCTAGTTTCTCCAGTGTAGTTCGGGCCCCAAGCTTATAGAGATTGTCTAACCACGGGACTGAGCACCGTGGAATAAAACCTTTATGGTAGTGTAGCCACGTTAAATCCACAAAGAAATCTGATCAATTACCAAAATACCACGATTTCACTTTATAAAATATAAATGGAAAATACTCAGTGTAATGATGCGAAATTTATAATTTTTTAAACGACTTGAAGCTAATTGAGATAATTTTAGAAAATTTCAATAATAATCTGATGTAAGATTTTTTGTTTGCGAAAACCATTCATTTCGAATGATAGCAACTTTAACCTCAATGCTTCCATTAACTATGACAAACTTATTAAGAACCATCAACAAGTTGTTGTTGTGTTGTAGTAGTGAAACTTTCTGAGTTATAGGCAAGCAACAAGAAAATTATATATGTAATCAGTGAAGTATGAAAGCATTATTACGGCAAAATATAAATTTTAAAAATAAAAAGAAAAAAAAACAAAAAACAAAAAACCTCATATAGAACTTTTCAATATACACGTAATTAGGTGACGTGGGCTTGACAATATGCCGAAGTTTTAAATGCAATCAGCTATCAAAGACAAAGTAATAAAACATCTAAAATAAGACTTTGTTGCCATGCAAAGGTTTAGTTTTCATTAGAGCTGTTATATCGGAACGATTTTGGGAAAATAGACTTCTGCGATCCAAACAAGACATAATCGTTATTCTAATTTTCATATTATTATTGTTATTATAAATTCAGCCAGACATTGAATTCCAAGACTAAAGTCTTAAAGCACTAGCATCGAAGGCTATCGGCTCTACCGCACTTGAGGTTCGAACCCACGACCATAGAGTTGCTAGTCGAGACTCTTGCTTACTCGGCCACTTGGGCGGATAATTTTCATTTTAAAAATTAGGTCTCGTCGCAAAGATCTGTCTTTTTGTGAGTAAGCTTCTATATCGTGGGTCTTAAAAAAGGTGCCCCGTTCCATCCATATTTTCCGCGCTTCATTTTCTAGACAAAAATACTATTTTTTATTGACATTTTGCTAAAAAATATTAGAAAATGCAATGCTTTACAATAAATATATACCGACTCTATATAGAAATATTGATCTTGTTCAAGTCATTTTTAGTAGAGTGCAAAATATCTCGAAAGTTGCGCCTTGCGGGTTGAACATAAGAATACAACGACAGAACTCAGATAGACGAGGTGGGCAAACTGACTCAGACCTTTCTTTTGAATCGATTGCTTTATCGCTATTATTTCTGAACGTTACGACCTTTGCTACAAGTGACGTAAATTAAACAAATAAAAACGCTAAAATCAAACTGGGCGTACTGTTCAATATCCTATAGCGTCCTACAATTACTCATATACCGATTTCTTAAAATAAGGTGCTTTTATGGTCAGTTCATCAAAATAAAGGATGTGAAGACAAACACCAACTTATCTAGCAAAAATTTACTTACTATCTGTAAACGCGGCCAAACGTGATGTCTAACATGATATACGTTAATATAGGTGACATTTTCTAGTCGGGCCCCGATAGAGTCCCAAATTTAGGTGTTGCTGCATAGATATCTTTTGCTAAAATATAAAATTTTTAAAAAATTTTTAAAAATAGTTCTTCCAAACAGAATTATAATATGTATAGCTTGTGTTCAAAGTATTTTCATATAGCTTCATGAGGTTTGCCAAAAAAATATTTTACTTTTTCTGATATGCACGGAGTACGCTTCCAAATCCATCTATATCCTAATTCGAAATATTTAACGGAGCTCTGTTACGGTATTTACAGCGATATGTTAATGGATATGGTGGGTGTCTTTGCTAGTTAAATTCGAATTTATGTTCACAACCATAGATTTTCTTTGTGGCGTTATGGGGGTGTGTCCTGTGAAAAGTTTAGGTCCCTCCTAAATTCTTTTGCAAATTTGTACGCGATATATTCATCTTCGTTAACGGGAGAATGTTTATCACATATATTACACAGTCGCGCAGACAAAAAGATGGACAAACGAACAGACGAACATGTTCAGGTGCATTTCAAATTTGAAACTGACCAAGAATTTATATACTTTGTGGGAGTTTTGAAGCTTGTTTCTGCCCCTTTCAAATATATTAAAAAAAAAAAATTTAATTTTGATATATTATAATACTGGGTAGGCGTGGTCAATTTTTTTCAATTTTGTGAAGCTGTCACAGCATCGTCCATAGAGTATACGATCAATTTTTTGCACATTTATCTTGTATAGTTTATCAACAATGAGCAAAGAACCAATTTTTTATTCCCTTTGAAAAACAGAGCTCTCAGTTGACGTCGTGCTTTGGGCGTGTCCTTGCGACCGATTTGATCCATTTTCAATACCAACCGATATGCCGGAACTTCCAATGTTTTGCCGATTTTGAAGTTAATAACTTCATTTTTACGGCCAGAAGAATATTAACCACAAGCATTACACAACCAGACAGACGCACATGCTAGAATCGATTTAGGATTTGATGCTGATCAAGCATATGTATACTCCGCGAGGTCGTTGATGCTTCCATCTGGGCGTTGCAAACGTTGTGACAAAATGAATATACCCCACATACGTCGATGATGGGTATAAAAAAAATCAGACAAATATTCCAAGAGTTATTCTTATGCGCGTCAGTATATCGTCTACAAGTAAATATACTTTAATTTGCTTTACACCTACAAATATATTTTATTGAAGATCTGATGGGAATGTAAGAATCTGAAAGCAGATTTACGCAATCATGACGACTGCATGTCTGCATGGAACTTGTGCTATGCAAAGGCAACACAACCGGAAGGGCTTTGAGATAGACTCAGACCAACGGTTTCATTATGCAGGTCGATTTAGATTACGATTCTTCTCTGTCCGATTAATGTTTCTGCGTTTAGGCGAAGTATTTCGTCCTAAGAACAAACATTTCGGATCGGATCAATTTTTCGATCACTCCTCATACAAATTGCATTAAGTGAAGCAGTGTATAGGGCTTTCCCTTAAATCTTTGAATTTATCACTTTTCAGATATATAATATAAAGTGTGTACTATTTATGTCTCCGTGACTGTATTATATTATTGTTATGTATTATTTTTCATATATATCCATACATATGTACATATTCATATTTTTATTTATTTTCTTTTTAAAGCGACGGTCTCTATAAAACTGTAAAAAAAGGGTGATAATCATGAAGCAGAACGTTTAAATTTTCCGGAATTTTTTTTTAACGTTCCCCTCTCTTACGCATGCCTATCTATATACGTATACATAGAAAGATAGTTTTGCATTAATATTCGTGTCTGTTTTGCTTCTTTTTTTATTTTTTCCTTTTTTTTTTTTAATTTCACTTTCATATATTAATTAAATACTATTTTCTCTTGTAGGTTGATTATGGTACAAAAGTTAACATTCGTCATGTTTTTCACTATTTTCTCTCCCGATTTATAGATTTATTTACTCTAGAAGTACCTTACTGTAAGGTAAAATTATGTATACCAATAACCTAACGTTAGCTTTAGCTTGACGCGAAAAAAACAAGTTTGTAACGAGTAAGTCGCGACAGAATCTTTTACACCCATCGCAGTTGTTCTAAGAAACGTAAAAGCACTAAATATTCATAGTCTATAAGGTTGGGTGCGCGTGACTATATTTTTCTATATTTTTTTTTTATGTACGGTATGAATTTTTCACAATTTTTCGTGCATAGGTGTGTGGGTGTGGGTGTCGCAAGACTGGCTTGGGTCATTTTCAAATTCTTTTCCCCTATTTAGAGGCGATATCTTCATTTTTGTAACCGAATGAACATTTGCCACAGTTGGGCAGACGTACGGATAGACAGACGAATACGATTAGGGGCATTTCGAATTTGAAGCTTGTGTGGGTCTTTGAAGCGTTATAAAGATATTGGAAAAGAGAAATAAATTTTGATACCCTCCAAAATTGAGTCCGCGTAGATAGGCGTTACAGCATCGCCCTTAGAATGCATGTTCAAGCTTATGAGTAATGAGCGAAATACCAATTTTTTACACCTTTCACTTTACCTGCTTTTCACTTTGATAATAGGAAAAAATTAGCCGCGCCCACTCCATATTATAGAGTATGAAAATTTTATTCTTTTACTTCTTGTTTAGGATAACGGGGATGGGTACAACTATCCTACTTATTATTTCTACGTCGCTGTCCCAGTCTTCGTGTAATACAACAAACTTGGAAACGGTTTCCGCAGTTGCTTATCAATTGATAGAATGGCGTTTACATATTAAGTTTTCGTTTTGCTTACGATAAAAAAATTTG